ATCCCTGACAAACTGGAAGGATAAAAATGACTTGTCCCTGATTTTTCTTTGTCTAAATATTTCACTCATAGAAGTCTTTGTTTCTTCTGATATTTTATTATGTTTATGAAACTTTTCTATAAAAACATATGAGGGGGGACCCAAAAAACCCAGAATTATCTTCTGGAGGATGGGCCCCTTGTAATTCAGCCTTCCCCAAATATGTGAGTGTTCTAGGAACCCATCTGTATCAGTGTACCAGCTGGCGGTATTGTGAGAGGCTGCATTCGACTTCAGTGAATTTTTTTTTGAAGACTCAGTACGTTTGCCCATTTCATGATGGGTGACTTATGAGTGCACCTGCTCACACCACACTGAGTATTCACAAGGTTTTGACCAAAACCAGAATGACCTCTGTGCCCCACCCGTCCTATTCACCCAGTCTTGCTCTGAGTGACTTTTTCTTGGTTTCCCCAGATGAAAAAAGTCCTCAAAGGGAAATGTTTTGCCAATGTGGAAAGGGTGAAATAAAAAATGGCGGAAGCGTTAAAAGGCATCAAAACCCATGAGTTCAAAAACTGTTTTGAGCAGTGGGAAAAAGAGGTCTCAATAGGCGTATTTGCATCAAATGGAGAGCATTTCAAAGGTGACTGAAGTTTCAACATGTAAGAATAAATACACTATTTTTTATAAATAAGTTCCTTTTCTTGGAGGTCCCTCCTCATAAGCTCATTTTAGCTTATTAATCCTTACCAGAAGATAGGTTTTTATTGGTTTGTGTGCGTATATATACGTGAGAGAGAGAGAAAGAGAAAGAGAAAGAGAAAGAGAGAAGCATCAATTGGTTGCTTCCCATAAATGCCTGACCTGAGATCTAACCTGCAACCTACATATGTGCCCTGAGTGGGAATCAAACCTGCAGCCTTTTGGGGCACAGGACAACACTCCAATCAACTGAGCCACCTGACCAGGGCCTCTTTATTACTTTTTTAAAATAAGCAAGCATCATCCCTTTTAAAAAACTCTTCCTTTGATGAGATACCTGGTTGCACCTTAGGTCTTTAGTTGAATCCCAACCCCAACCTGCGCGGACCCCTTTACATTTCCTTATTTCTCTCCACTTCCAGCATTTAATGCCCCGGGTCAGGCCTGTCCCTCACTGTGCCTGCCCTGGTCCAGATGAGCCTCATTCACCCAGACATGGCCCAGGTGGGCCCCCGCCTGGCATATGATGTGGATGGAGCCTGGGACGGGCCCCCGTGTCTCCACTTATTCTAATTCGATTTGTCTTTCATTGTGCATCAAAATTTTCCTTCTCAGCCATCTGCTTGGGACCCAGCTCTCTTTCTTTTCTCACTTTCTGGAACTTTTCATTACAGTGGAGGGTTCAGCTCTTAACAGTTTGTCCTCTGACCTAGAATTACTCAACTTGCTGCTACTTCCTGATCATAGTCTTCCATTTATTATGTCCCTGCTACATGCAAGGCAGGTACTGTGTGTTTCATATACATTACTCGTAGTCTTCACGTCAACCCTGCAAAGCTGTGGGAAATTAGACATACTACTAAACATCTAAGGGCCACAGTTTTCTCCTTTAAGATGCGAATAATAATGCCACTGGGAGGCTGCATTCTACCCTCCACCATGAAGCCTTTGTTTGTCTTCTTTCCCTTTGGTGTCCCCGACACTACCCAGTGTGGGGCTCAATGCATAATTAGAGCTCCACACAGCCTTACTGGGTAATAGTTGGAGTACAGTTATCATATTCGATTGTTTTCCTGAATTAGTTTTAAGAAATGAAACACAGATTTATTTTTAAAGTTTATCAAAAGCGATCGACAGTCACATTAAGGAAGCAGTGCGATAAGACTTCATTTTAATTTTATTAGTTTTTAAATAGTTCTGCATTTATTTTCATGTGTAATAGGAAAAAACATAACTAGCACATCAACATGTGACTGCATGGATCTATTGCTGAGCACAAGACCAAAGTTGGAAGTGAGTTTAAAAAAAAAAAAGAATGTTGATTTAAACAAAATGTTAAACAAATGAGAGGATAGGAGGCTCTTGGTCAGGACGAGATTGTGGGGGTGGTATGTGAGTGCCTGGCGTTCAGGGCTCATGGCCCTGAGCTCAGGCAAGGAGCCCCCCGGGGCCGTGCAGAGACACTCTCGCAGGACTGAGAGCCGAGCATCCCCACAGGAGCTGAGGCGAGTCCCGACGAGCACATCTGGTTGAACTTGTTTATATCCTACAAAATGCCTGAGAAGTTACAAAACAACAAAAGCAATTTTCCTTAAAAGGGAAGAAGAATCTTAAAGGTGCGGCCTAGAGGAGGCAGTGGTCACAGAGCAGCCTGGGCTGGAGGGCCCGCGTGGGACTTGGTGGGGGGATAACCAGAGGGGCTGAAGGGACACCCCTTGGCACCGTCCTGGAGGGCGTGTGCGTGTGTGGTGCGTGTGCCTGGTCGAGGGAGAACACAGAGCTCTTGCACCCTGTTTCCCAGCATACAACAAGCACTTAATCAGTGTCTGTTGACTCACTGGTACGCACCGAAGGAGCGCCAGAAGGCAGAGTGGAACAGTTGTGGACACCCTTGGGCGTCAGCACATTTCACCCTCTCCTTTGCCCCTGCTCTTCACATTCACAGCTGAACAAGACATTACTTTGAAACGTCTAATGTTTGTAAAGCTAGATCCTGAGAACTCTACTCTTGGAATGCTCTAGTTAATTGGATTTCTGGTAACTATTCATTAGCTTTTTGTTAAAAAAAAAAAACTTGTTAGAAACTTTATCAAATTTTATGAAATTTTAATCTATTTTCTGGCCTTTGGGAAAAGAATATGCTGGGCACATTTGGGTCGCGCTTTGGTGGCTCAGGACTCTGCAGTGTCTCCAGGGTGAGATTTGGAGAATCGACGAACTCGCTTAGGATGGAGGATGAGCAGGAGGGTGGGTGGCGTGTGACTAACCCAGGAGTGCACTGTAAAAGCATTTCTTCCTACTCATTTCAGATATGGTGAATGCTGGCTTGTAGTTGAGGATGACTGCGAGCTGGATTCCGGGTAACCTACATTATTTTGGCCAGTGGTCTTGCACCTCTGGGCTCCCTTACTCAAGGGGCAAACTTAAAATGACGTCAGCCAGGCCTCCCACCATCGGGATGAGTGAAATTTCCTTATGCATAGATATATCTTTCTTAAAAAAAAATCAACCTAGATTTATATTTGCACCCAAACTATTCCTTGCATCCTTAGATTCTGATTCTGGCTGTGCTCTTGAGAAGCACTAATTCTACAGTAAAGTGCTAGCTGGGTAGCCGGTTGAAATGAGGGCCACCATTTGTTCAAATTGGTTTCTAAGCCTATATTTCTCCTTCAGGTTTTGAAATACTCAAGAGACCTATCTCCCAAGATATGTATGAGGAATTGAAGTGTGTAAGGACAAGAAAATCTACAAGGTGAAATACAGATTATCTTCAGTTTCATTTATACTGCAATTGACGAAATTACATGGTTTTGGGGTATTGAAAAATTGCTGTCAAAATGTATGAATGAAGTTTTGAGCAACCAAAACAAAGACCCATGTGTAATGACATTTAAATCTACGTGGCCATGACTCCTAAGCTTTGTTGCACACTGGAATCACTTGGGGAAGTTTTGAAACACTAGATATTCAGGCTGTGCCCCAGATAAATTAAAATTTGGGGGTGGGAGCCAGACATTAGTACTTTTTTTTCAAGCATTAGTATTTTTAAAAGATCCCTGGGTGATTCATTACAAAGTTCAGCAAAGTTGAGGAACCAATAGCATATGGAATTATATGTGTAAGCAATTTGTAGGTATTACTTGAAGGACTCAATTTACAGCATAACTCACAGACATCATATATATTTTCATTTAAAATGCTTCACCATGAAAATGGTAAAATATTTCAAAAGTATTAAAAAAAGACTTTCAGTAAGTTAAAAATTATTTTGTAACCTGAAATATTTCCAAACTGTTATAATCCATTCCTTTTTTTTAATGAGGAGAATATCAGAAACATTTATTTTCAGCACCAAATTCCTTTTTATAAGTACAGAAGCAGAAGAAATACTGAAAGATAAAGGGAAGGAAGGATATAAACAAAGGAAAACTAAAATGATTATTTACTAAGAATTGCAAATGCTCATTTTCTGTGCACACCACAAAGTTCCTTTCTCTGTTGCTAGGACTTTGTGTAATTTACAGGGACATGATAGTAGAGAGCTCCTGCTTTTAGTTTATCAAAATAAACCTGAATGTTCTTTTTCCCAGCCCTCAGTGAAATCTGAGACTTTACTCATCTTTATGAAAAAAGAAAGGGAGGGAGGGAGGGAGGAAGGAAGAAAGGGAGGAAGGGAGGGAAAAGGAAGAAAAGAGAGAGAGAGAGAGAGCAAGAAAGTGTGAGCCTGCCTGTCCTTCGAACTGCTTTGTGGTTAGAACGCCCCTCCTGCTCCATCAGTCCTTTCTACAACCGATTTTTACGTGTTAGGAATGGAGACAGTAATGTACAGGGAGCCACTTTAAACTGGAGCGGGAGCCGCCATCTCAGAGAACAGCCTCGCGCGTCTTGTGTCTCAAATCTCGGAATGTGAAACTGGGCAAAATAATCTTTGGACTGGGCCTAGGGCAACATTATGTCCCAAAAAATTGTTTGTGAAGATAACAAGAAAGCAGTTATTATGACTACTGGACTGAAAATTAAAAACATTATTTAGAGTCCACATGACGATGTTATGTCATCGGCCCCTCTAGAAGTGCCTTTCTTCCACAGATGCAATTGCTTCTCTCTGTCTCACAAATACCCATTGCTTTTGTCTCCTTATTGGAACACTATTTGGTTTTCTGCCAGGATCAATGTGTCCCAAAAAGCTATTCTCTTATGGATCTCAATAAATTCTTGTTGCCTCTCACTTTGAAAGGCCTTTTTCTTTTTCTTTCTTTCTTTCTTTTCTTTTTTTTTAATTTTTAGGTTAACAGGAACACTCGAGGACTAGGTCAGCTGAGACTCCTGCTGCCTGTCTGGTAGAGAGAACAACTTATAATAACAAACATACCAGATTTGGATGAGTTACCCTCCCCACAACCTGCAGGCCTGTTGTTGGGGTCATTTAATCCTTCAAACAGTCCTGTTTCTATAATCTCTTCCTGCCACGCTATGCGCACAGCACCTGTTGCAAATCTTTGGAAGAACTTCTAATCTTCATCATCAAATTCAACTCCCCGAACCTCAGAGAAATCTTCAATGTCATCAATATCTTTGGCGTAAACCACCGGAGGGTCTGGCACATATGGTGGTTCACCTGGGCCTGCTTCCAGGCAAGGAAAGTGGATGGTTTTGAAGAGAGGGTGTTTCCTGAGATAATCAGACTTTTCTCTGTGAGAAAGGAGACGGTCAGCCACCCACACGGCAACAAACCAAAACCGGGGACATTCTAACAGTGCAGAGGGTGTAGCATTCTTTTCCCATACACATTTCATTTTAATTACAAAAACAATATAATGACATAAAGAATAATTGAGAAAAATAATAACTTTAAAAATAACTCACCGTTCCATCATATATAGACAGTAGCATTTTCATTATTTGCAGACAGTTTTCCCATGTAGATGTGATTTTTCAGGAGTCCAGCAGTTGGCATGACTGTTATTCTTCGTTATTCTACAAAGCACCAACAAAAATCAGTGTGGCCAGAACCTGCTTGCCTGTAGCTTCCAGTCCATGCCTCTTGCTCTGTCCTTCAGGGTCACGTAGAACAAGTTAATATATCTCTTTCCACATGATCAGCACTTACATTTAAAAAGACCATCCTCACATCTCCTTACTCTCCACATGATTTCTAGGAGCCCACCTACTTCCCCAGCTGCCAAAATAATCTTTAAAGACTTAAAAATATCCATTAGTAAGTTTTAGTAGCAAGAATGAGCATATGTTTGGTCCTGAAGACTATAGTTACTTGTGATCAAATCTCCCTTCCTTATGCTAGAAATGATTCCAGTATTTGCCTCAGAATAAGGAAAAAAAATGTACTTGCCCAAGTGTGAAACCTCTTGTATTGATTACCTATTGCTATGTATCAAATTGCCCCAACATTTAGTGGCTTAAAACAACAAACATTAACTCTCTCACAGTTTCTGGGGGTCAAGGTTGTAGACATGGCTTCACTGGGCGCCTGTGGCTTAAGGTCTCTTGTCGGGATGCAGTAAAGCTGTTGGTCAGAGCTATGGTTTCATCTGAAGGTTCACCTGGGGTTGAGGGGAGGAATCTCCTGAACTCACTCATGTAATTATTGGCAAGACTTCATCCCTCACCATGTGAACATCTCCATAGGGGGCTGTCTTATAACGTTATTGCTGTTTTTCCCTACTGCTAATGATCAGAGGAAGAGAGAGAGAGAGAGAGAGAAATAGAGAGAGTCCAAGACAGAAGGCAGTCTTTTTATTACCTAATCTTGGAAATAACATCTCAGCACTTCTGCTGTATTCTATTGTTAGAAACAAGTCAGAAAGTCCAGCCCACCCACCCTAAAGGGAAGGGAGGACCACATTAGTGGTGGTCTACCACACTCTTCTCTTGTTTCCTCTTCTGTTCATGTTTTAAAAAAATAAAAAGGGGGCTCTTTAGTGGCATCAGATTCAAATGATTTTTTTTCTTTTCCTTTTATATGAAAAAATATGTTGGTCTAAGTAATGTCTTCCTTTTGGAAGAAGTAAATTTATGCCATAAATCAACTTTTATAAAAATTAATCACATTCATGGTCTTCCCTGTCACATTTTCCATTCCAGCTATCAAAAAGCTTTTAGGAAAAGGGTTAAGGAATTCCCTCAAATATCCCCTTAGAGACTCCCCACCATGGCACGTGATCACTGAAGCAGACTCTGCCCAGTAAGATGACACAATAATGACATTAGTAATAATAGTGACAATAACTAACATTTACTCAGACCCTATTCTCAGCTAATACAACGTTAAGCCCTTTGCTCACATTGTCACATTTTACCACAACAACCCCTGTCTGTTTTCAAATTGTATTTTTAACCTCTTTGAACCTCTTCAGCTGCGCATCTGAGAAAGCAAGAAAATATAGGTGAATTCAAAGGAAAAATTATAATAAAATGTTATTATGAAAAAGAGAAACTCAGTTGGATACATCTGATACCCAGGCACTCCCTGGGTTGTTGTGTGATTCGGGCCAAGCCCCATCCAGAAAAGCCATCCAGGCCTCCTGGGACTTTTCCCATCGTAACCCAATGGAAAAGACAGGGATGGAGAGCTGCATCCCAGGATACTCCACGGTTTCTTTTTTTCCAAAGGCCACCAAATCTCCTCCATCAACTGAAAGAAAGGAAAGTGCAGGCTTGCTATCTATGAGAACCTAGTTCCCAATGTCAATCTGTGGAGTAAAAGCCTTGAGGGGGAGGGTTACTGAGATAAATTGAAACTTCAAAGATATATATTTTTTAAAGGTTTATTGAGGTATAATTTGCACAGCAATATTCACTATTTTAAGATATCATATAGGTTGAGGAGTGGGTTTCATATAGATTTTAAATGGCAGAACAAGGATAAAACCAGAATTCCATCCAAGTAGATCAGGAATGAACCCGAGACCTATGTATCTGAAAGAGGGCAAAAGAGTTGGAATGGGACAAGGAGCCATGAGGAAGGCACTTGTACCTCCTTGATGGCCCCTGGCAGGCATGATCGCACTGTCCCAGAGGTCGAGAGTGCACCTTAAACTCACTCTGAGCAGCTTTAACTTGGATAGACCCGGATGGCCTGGGCTTGTCCCTCAGGATGGTTGAATGCAGCCCTTTGGCAACTAGTCACACAAGACAAGGGAATGATGGACCACTTTGAGGATTTTTTTATGTTCCTCAGCACCCCAACCAGATGCCTCTGGCAGGCAGGGCCCATGCCTTACACTGTGGAGGAGAGACTATTCTGTCACCTGACCGCTGCCTGACCACTGCGGCCGGCTGCATCCTGGCCAGAACAGACACTGCTTCCTGAGAAATCCCCTCGGAGACAGTCCGATGGACAGCTCCCCCCACCCCGGCCCCCAGACACGCGGGTTCCTTCAACAGACCTTCGCCCAGCCTCAGGCAAGCATGTAAGGCATTTCCCCCTGATCTAGGATGGGTCTCCCTGGTACTGCATCCATCCTGCCTTGTACTACGTATTCCCTTATTGCCTGCCACACGGTGCAGAGGATGTCCGTGCCATCTTGCCACCGCCCAAGATATGCCTCGTATGCAAATTCCCTTAATAAACTCTTGATGTAATAATGAAATTGTTGGCCTCTTTCTTGGTCTCTCAACCTGGGAAATTTACATTAACAATACCTTTTTCCAATTTATATCTATGGCTGCTCATGCTAACAACATAAGATGAGGCTTTCTAAGCTCTGTTCCTTTAACTCCGTCCAGGCCACCACAAAGCTGATCACTTTGCTCTTTTGCACGAGTGACTCTCACCTCTATGTGCAGTTAGAAGTGGCATGAAGATGATTTTACTCCTGAATCCTGCCCTGGCTGCTTTGTGCAGGGGTCTTTTGGCCCACCTCTCTGAACAAAGAGGAGAGGCTATTGATGGAGGCAGCATCTTTTGGAATAGCCCAACTGGCAGCTGCAGGAAGACTTCTCTTGCTTGTAGGAATAGACTATATTTCTGAGCATTAACAGAGGCCCTTGTGTTACTGAACCCCACATGGAGATTACAATGCAATTCAATGAAGATGAGATACCCACTGCCCATACAAGAGGACCACACTGCGCAGTTTGGTCTGCCAAGAACGGTGGGTATTAGCCTGAAATTGTGTGTTGGAGAAGCACTTCAGTCACACACATGCATGGGTAGTTGCTCTTGTTTGGCTGCATTGACTGGTCAGAATAAAACCTGCAGAATACTTCAGTGGTTCTTCACCTTTGATTTTATTGGAAAATACCATAGTTGACCCTATCTGGAGCCCCTAGGAGATGCTCAGAAAAACTTTCGGCTTCTCTGCAAAATTAACTCCCAGACCCATAAAGGCAATGGAGGAGATCCTGTTGAGTGGTGTCTAAAGATGGAGAGGGGTTTTCAGTTTGTTTTATTTTATTTTTACTTTTTAATTGAATTTATTGGGGTGACATTGGTAATAAAATTATATAGGTTTCAGGTGTATAATTCTGTAACACATAATCTGTATATTGTATTGTGTGATCACCACCCCAAGCCAAGTGGCCTTCCACCTCCATTCCACGCCCTCCCGCCCCCAAGCCCTTTTTTGTTTCCGCCAACCTCCCTTTCCCTCTGGTAATCACCACACTGTTGTCTGTGCCTATGATTTTGTTTGTTTGGTTGTTTAATCCCTTCGCCTTTTTCTTGAGGCCCTGCAACCCCCTCCCCTCTGACAGCTGTCCGTTCTCTAGCCATGAGTCTGTTTCTATTTTGTTTGTTAATTTTGTTCATTAGATCCCACTTCAATTTATTTTATTTTTAAAATTTTATTTATTTATTTATTTATTTATTTTCCCACCCGTATTCACCCCTCCCACTTAGTTCATGTCCATGGGTCCTACATATAAGTTCTTTGGTTTCTCCATTTCCTATGCTATTTTTAGTCTCCCCCTGTCTATTTTTGTACCTACTATTTATGCTTCTTATTCCCTCTGCATTCTCCCCGATTCTTCCCCCTCCCCCTCCTCTCTGATCTCCACTTCTGTGATTCTGTTCCTGTTCTAGTTTTTTGCTTAGTTTGTTTTTATTTTTGTTTTTTAGGTTCAGATGTTGATAGTTTAGTTTGTTTTCATTTTACTGTTCACAGCTCCTAATCTTTTTCTTCTTCTTACATAAGTCCCTTTAACATTTTGTATAATAAGGGCTTGGTGATGATGAACTCCTTTAACTTGACCTTACCTGGGAAGCACTTTATCTGCCCTTCCATTCTAAATGATAGCTTTGCTGGATAGTGCAATCTTGGACGTAGGTCCTTGTCTTTCATAACTTTGAATACTTCTTTCCAGCCCCTTCTTGCCTGCAAGGTTTCTTCTGAGAAATCAGCAGACAGTCTTATGGGAACTCCTTTGTAGGTAACTGTCCCCTTTGCTCTTGCTGCTTCTGAGAGTCTCTCCTTACTTTTAATCTTGGGTAAGTTAATTATGATGTGCCTTGGTGTGTGCTTCCTTGAGTCCAACTTCTTTGGGACTCTCTGAGCTTCCCGGATCTCCTGGAAATCGATTTCCTTAGCCAGATTGGGGAAGTTCTCCTTCATTATTTTTTCAAATAAGATTTCAAGGTCTTGCTCTTCCTCTTCTCCTTCTGGCACCCTTATGATTCGGAGGTTGAAACGTTTAAAGTTGTCCCACAGGTTCCTAAGCCTCTCCTCATTGTT